ATGCAATAAAATGTAGGGAGTTCTATTTAAAAAAATAAGGTTGACCTTGAAATGATCTTAAAGGACATGGTCAAGATCAAAGTCAAGGTCATCGTCTTACTCCTCGCTTGAAACCATACAACTTTGCTATTAGACATTTTCTCCAAAATGCATTCTAACGGAAGATATTAGGGGGGTCCAATACTTTTCGATGACCCTGTATATATATATAAATATAATTTCAATAACTTTATAAGCTTATATTAGCGCGCGCATTTGACGAGCTTATTTGTGTGCGCGCGAAAATAAGCTGATTTTTTATGAAACAGTTTTTTAAATCGCGCGGAATAAGCTCACCGTCCGTTGCCGCGACGAAGATTAGCTTGTTGTCGCGGCAAAACGCGCTGAACCGCGGCCGCCGCGGAACCCCATGCCCGATGGTGAGCTCATCGTCGTCGCAAACCAAAAACAGTTTAATTTAAGAGGTTTACGTCAATTCGTACAGTCTTCGAAATGGACGTGCGCTAGAAACATCCCAGGACGTCGATCGTTTTTTGCGGTCCTATGAGATGCGGGAAAACAATTTTTGTAAAGACTTTTCTAAGTTATTTGCCAAAAATGACAACTATTCGATTTGGGAGAATTTTATTTTATTACGGCGAGTGGCAGGAAGCTTATCTTCAATTGCAACGAGAAATGACGACGGAAAAATGTAAAATCGAATTTCGCGAAGATTTACCCCGACCGGAAGATTATTCGAACGACCCGCATTGTGCAAAATTAATAATAATCAACGATCTTATGCGAGAATCATCGTCGTGCGAAGTGATCGTGGATCTGTTTACCAAGAGTAGCCATCATAAGAATCTCAGCGTTATACTTATTTCACAGAATCTTTTTCATCAAGTCTATCCCGACGACGCAAAGTTTTTGGAAGAAGCGTACTACGACGCCACTTTGCGTCCTCACGCACTTATTACTGTTCAATTTGAAACAATCAACATCGGACAAATATCGTTTTTGAACGTGTATCTTTCCCAACAATCTACGTCATTACGTGTACGTAACCCGCAGATCTGCCGCGAAAGCAAGCGTATAAAAACCCGAAGCACACGAGTGAAGGGCATCATTCGAAGCTACGATGCCGTCGGCGACGAAGGAGCAGCAACGGAAGAAGCAACAAAGGGCGCATATTAGAGCTAGGCGCTCTCTCGGTGAGAAAAACATCTGTCTACTGAAGGCTCTGTGTCTTCTAAATAAAAATCAACGCGCTGCTTTTCTACGAAACGGTGATAACAAATTTATCGTGTATTCGCGAGTGCGTCCACGCTCAGAGGTAAACGTAGAGAGAGTAACGTAGCGCTCGAAAAAAGAGAGAAGAACCGCCTAATCCGATATAAAACGGCGCTGCGACGTATCGCGGAACGAAGAGATACTTGGAGGTGCAAGAGAAAGCTGCTGGTGCAACAAGGAAGCTTTTTACCGTACATCATCGGGCCCATACTCGCAGCTTTATTATCTCGAATTATCGAGTAATCATGGAACGGGCTAAAAAAATGGTGCTGATTTCCACAGATACTCTCGAAAGAAAGCAACAACGGATTGCGACGAGGGAAAATACCGCTGCTAATACCACACGAACTCCCGGAACCGTGCTCTCGCGTTTCGACGTGGAGATGAGACGTATTCTCGATTCCCCTGTTAATGAAGGTGAAAAATGAAAATTGTACAGCAAAGTACTTCGTCGATATCTATATTTTATCCGAAAAGCGAGAAAGCGTTCTTGCAAAGAAGAAGATCCATCCGTGGTGGAAACAACTGCTGTGACCGGAAGAGAGGAGGAAGAGAAGAAGGAGGACGAAGAAATGAGAGAACTATTTCACGACGCGGGAGAACCAATGGACGCTTCGCCTCAAACAATCTTCGGTTTGCCAATAAATTATTCAACATCCTTGCGACACAATAATAATAATAATAATCAATATCAACGGATTAATCAGTCGACTCCGAAGAAAAATGTATCGTTTGCAGATATTTCATTTAACAACACCAGCGCAACGCGCTCTCGCGAACGAAAAACTATAACAAAGATAATAGAAACAATTCTAAAAACTTACCGCCCCAAAGCGCGAATGCTTTTGAATCATCTGATCGAAGCGGCTGTTTCCGTCAAGATCACATGGAACGAACGCGGTATCGTGACCAAGAGTCCAGAATTGGTGGGAACNAATATTGTGGAACTCGTAAACGACGCGATGCGAAAAAGAAAAACCGCTGGAATAACGGGGGCCATTCATTTCGCTCATTTACTTCGCGACATAAACACGCCTCCTCAATACGTGGGAAATCCTACATATTTACGCTTTTTGCGAAAAGGAGGAAAAAGAACAAAGCGCAAATCTCCGTATAACATTGAACAAGAAGAAGCCGAAGAAGAAGGATGGGATTACCGTGCCACCAACAAGAACAATAAAAAGATACGAATCGGGATTCCGAGACGGCTGCTCACGTGAGACAAAATGTAAACAAAACGCTTGACAAGTTGTATTATAATCCCGCGCATTGCGCCGGTTACTCGTCGACGGAAAATTTGTCGCGAGCCGCTAAACCGAATTACTCGCGCGAGGACGTTATTCGCTGGCTTTGTTCGCAAGATGCTTGCACGCTACATCGTCCCGTGCGGCGAAAGTTTCCCCGACTACATTATAACGTAACAAATATCGACGATCTCTGGGAAACTGATTTGATAGAATTGCAAAATTTGCAAAGCTATAACGACGGATATTACTATCTACTGACAGTTATCGACGTGATCAGCAAATTCGCGTAGGTGGAACTGTTGCGAGACAAAACAAATGCTCAAGTCCTTCGTGCGTTTCAACGCGTGCTCTCGAGAAGCGGCGGACGAAGACCCGTATATCTGCAAACCGACAAAGATAAAGAATTTATCGCGCATCCGCTGCAAAAATTTCTCAAGAAAAAAGGAATTCGTTTCCGCGTGGCGCGTAATCCCGACGTTAAAGCAGCCGTGATCAAGCGTTTCAATAGAACGCTAAAAGAGCGCATGTGGCGCTACTTCACGCACAAAAACACGAAACGTTACCTCGATGTCTTGCAGGATATCGTGAACGCATATAACCATACGCCGCACTCTTCCATACGCGTGAAACCCGCGGATGTTACGGTGGAAAACGCGAATATTGCGCGCGAAAACACGTGGCATCGCTGGAAAAAACAGCGAGCAAAAGTAGCTAAACACTCCGTCGGCGATCTCGTACGTGTCAGTAGAGCAAAGGCCGCCTTTGAGAAGAGATACAAGGCCAAGTGGAGCCAAAAGATATTTCGACTTCATCGTGTTTTCGAGTAGCAAAATCCACGTGTTTACGAGCAGAGTGATTTAGCGGATGAGGTATAGACGGAATTTTCTACAAGCAAAAACTGGCTCCTGTTGTTAAAAACCTACAAGAAGAAACTTTCATCGTTGATCGGGTGATAAAGAGCAAAGATCAGGGACATAATAGGCAACTGCTAGTCAGTTGGCAAGATTATCCGTCTAAATTCGACTCGTGGATTCCGGCTTCGAGTTTAACAACGCTTGCACAAGGCGACGACAATGATGGCGACAATGATGATGACAATAGAAAAACACTTTTTCGTAGTTCTCCCGAGCAATAGCAGTATGCTTTACTTCCCGCATAACACTACTTCGTGTTTTACCACGGAATTACCTTGCCGTATAGATTTGCAGGAAAAATGGGAAGTTGCTCTCAGCGAGATTCAGTTTCCTTCTAATTTTTTACATTTACGCGAAGATGAAGCTCTGATAACGCTCGCAAATACCTTTCCTAACGGCGATATTTCGTCAGTTAACATTCCAATATTGTCAGGAATTTATTCTTCAGAAGCTGATCTTATAGAATCTATAAATCATTCGTGCTCTCAAAAAAAAATCACATATTACATGGTCACTGAATCCTCTATATGGTAATAAAGTTTCTATATCGCTTACATGTAAAGAAGACAAATGCATTCAAATTCATAGTGTAAAGCTTAGCGACAAATTGCGTCGTATACTTGGATTTGAAACATCCTCTGTTAATACACCTTTCGTAGTAGACAGAGCTGCCGGTGTCGATAGTTTTGAACCAATCAGCTTGGCCCGTGCTATGCCTGACAAGTTATTTGTTTATTGCGACATTTGCGGGCCATACATAACCGGAGATGCGCTAACACCGNTTCTTCGAATAGTTACTAACAATACCACGAATAAGTACGGTTCTAAACAGGTAAAACATTACTCGTCTGGAAATTATATTCCGCTTCGTAAAACAAATTTCCGCGTGATAAAAATAGATATAAGAAATCAGTTTGGTAAATTTATTCCATTCGAATTCGGCACGTTGACGGTAACGTTACACTTTAGACACGTATTCGAGTAGAATATGGTTCATTATATGGAATATTACGAGATGCAGAGCGGAGGCGGCATTCCGAGAGTTTTCACGGGATCGACGTATCAGTGATCACGGTATCGGAAGCTCTCTCGGTGGATTGTTCAGGAGGATGCTTTCCTACCTGGCTAGCGAAGCGCGCGCGATCGGAAAAAAGCTCTACGCGCCGGTGTGAAAATAATAGACGATGTGGGGAATAACAATATTCTGCTAAAAGAAGCAGTTAACAGTCGTTTCAAAGAATCACGGGACAATCTCAAACAACAAGCAAAAGAAAAAATAACCAGCTTAATGCGAGGGTCAGAATATATACCCCTTGCAAAGAAACGCCCGGGCCAGTTTGACCCAGGTGAGCTTCCCGTTCACTTCGCGATCAAGCGTCGCCGTCGTGCTAGTAGTACCAACAAGAAATCAGCTTCCGTGCGGAGAAAAAAGAAAACTCGAGCAATTAAACGCTCAACGAGTAGAAAAATTCAGAAGAAAAAGAAGAAGCGCGCAACACAAAAACTAGCTAACGCCGCGTGAGCGAGAAACGAACCGTGAGCGATATATTCTCGTAGACAAAGCAAAATGTCTTTTCTCCATACTCACTCGTGTGAGTGTTTCAAAAGCGAACTTGATCTTTTCACTCTACCGCCCACTCAGACCAGTATCGAGAATTTGCAATGGATTCATTACAAACCTATGTCGACTCTCGCGGACGACGCTCCCATAGAATTTGTCGTGCCGGGCCATGGGGAAGACTACATAGATCTCGCGCATACTCTTCTCAGTCTTCGCGTGATATTGCAAACTCCCGTTGAAGCAACGGTTACTCCGCCTACTTCGGCTACAAATTCTAGTGCCATTGTTGTAGAGCATAAAGTAGAGCCTGTAAATAACTTTTTACATTCCATGTTTAATCAAATCGATGTGTACTTCAATCAAAAGCTTGTGTCGCCTCCAAACAATGCTTACGCGTATCGAGCCTATTTCGAGACATTGTTGAATTATTCTTCAGAGGCAAAATCCTCTCATCTCACCACCTGTTTATGGGATAGCAATCCTCCGGGGTTGTTGGATGCCGGGTTCGATGCTCCAACTGAGAACCCCGCTCTCGTGAGACGTATGCAGTATTTCAAAAATAACCGTGCTGTGGATCTCATAGGACATCTACATTGCGACGTTTTCAATCAGGATAAATTCTTGATTAATGGCGTGGAAATGCGCCTAAGACTCATCCGCTCGAAGGATTCTTTCTGTCTCATGGAACTTACGCCACAAAAGTTCGTATTGTAGATGCCACCTTGATCATGAGGAGAGCAAAACTAAGCGCTGGAGTTTTATTAGCTCACGCTAAAATGCTAAGCAAAACCACTGCAAAGTATCCTCTCACGAGAGTTGAAGTTAAATCGTTTACGCTCTATAGAGAAGTGGTGGGGGAATCAATTGACAACGCCATACTCGGTCAACTGCCGAAGCGGGTGATAATCGGTTTCGTCGAAAATAAGGCGTTTAAGAGGGTCCTGGAGTAAGACCCGAAGTCCGCACTGGGGTCTCTGCCCGGAAAGTGGCGCCCTCAGTGGTTAAGTTATTCCGTCCTTCTTTTAAAGTGAGACGGGCAATCGCGCTGTCTATTGCGTTACCGCTCTTTCGTCGTACAGCTCGAGCCGGCCAGCACCGAGAGTACCGAAGTGGTGAGGATACGCACACAAGCGAGAACCGCTGTCCGTGTGCGCTCGTGCAACATATGTTCCGTCTCCTTTCCTCTAAGCCGGGCTATAAGACAAGACACGTTCACGTAGCGCGATTGTTGCGTATGACAGCTTGAAGTGCGTTTTCAAGATTTAGAGTCCTTAAAAAAGTAAATATATTATTGATAATAATAAAACCTCAATAATAACACCTCAT